GACTAAACCAGGAGGAACCAAGACTGAACCAGGACTGAACCAGACTGACCAAGACTGAACCAGGACTAAACAGGACTGAAACTAGGAAACCAGGACTAAACCAGGACTGAACCTAGACTGAACCAGGACTACACCAGGAGAGAACCAAGACCGAACCAGGACTGAACCAAGACTGAACCAGGACTGAACTAGGACTAAACTAGGACTGATCCTAGACACAACCAGGAGTGAACCAGGACTAAACCAGGACTAAACCAAGACTGCAGCAGGACTGAACTAGGACTAAACTACGACTGAACCAAGACTGAACCAGGACTGATCCAAGACTGACCCTAGACTAAACCAGGACTGAACCAGGACTAAACCAGAACTGTACTAAGTCTAAACCATGACTGATCCTAGATTGAACCAAGACTAAACCAGGACTGGGCCAGGACTGACCTGAGACTGAACCAGATCTAAACCAACAATGAACCAGAACTAATCTAAGAATGAACAAGGATTAAACCAAGACTGAATCAGGAGTAAACCAGGACTAAACCAGGACTGAACCAGGACTAAACCAGGACTAAACCAGGACTGAACCAGGACTAAACCAGGACTGAACCAGGACTGAACCAGGACTGAACCAGGACTGACTGAAACCAGACTGAACCAGGACTAAAACCAGGACTGAACCAGGACTAAACCAGGACTAACCAGGACTAAAACCAGGACTAAACCAGGAACTGAACCAGGACTGAACCAGGACTAAAACCAGGACAAACCAGGACTGAACCAGGACTAAACCAGGACTGGAAACCAGGACTGAACCAGGACTGAACCAGGACTAAACCAGGACTAAACCAGGACTGAACCAGGACTGAACCAGGACTAAACCAGGACTAAACCAGGACTGAACCAGGACTGAACCAGGACAGACTGTGGACATGTCCTGGACCAGACTCTCGTTCTTTTCATCTTCCTTCTTTGCATTTTTTTCTGTCTAGTAACAACATTGTGACATTTTGATTGATCAATTTCTGCGGTTTAATTAAAATGGTTGTGGTTGTCGTCATGGCAACGGGAGGAGGATTATTATTTTTCTTTCTCACTGTAACTCGTCGAGTTTAGGGAGAAAATTGTAGAAAGATTCATTCATTCGAGATCATGAGACGGTGACTCCCTCCCTCCTTCCCTCCCTCCTTCCCTCCCTCCGTCTCGTCTCCTCTGCCTCCTACATGTTGTGAGAATAAAAACGCTTTGTCACGCAGAGTTTAACACGCAACAAAATGATCACACGCTCCTCAAATATTCACATTTTACTCACGAACAGAAAATTACATGATTACTTTTGCCGTTTCATTATAATAAAAAACAAAAAATAATAAATACAAAATTAAATACAACAAATTTTAAATAAATAGTCTAATGGTTTCAGCAATTAACCCAAATAAGAATGTATGACCAAACCAGGACCGAACCAGGACCGAACCAGGACCGAACCAGGACCGAACCAAGACTGAACCAAGACTGAACCAAGACTGAACCAGGACTGAATCAAGACTGAGCCAAGACTGAACCAAGACTGAACCAAGACTGAACCAGGACTGAACCAGGACCAAACCAGGACTGAACCAGGACTGAATCAAGACTGAACCAAGGTTGAACCAGGACTGAATCAAGACTGAACCAAGGTTGAACCAGGACTGAATCAAGACTGAACCAAGACTGAACCAAGGTTGAACCAGGACCAAACCAGGACTAAAGCAAGACTGAACCAGGACTGAACCAGGACTGAATCGAGACTGAGCCAAGACTGAACCAGGACTGAACCAAGACTGAACCAAGGTTGAACCAGGACCAAACCAGGACTAAAGCAAGACTGAACCAGGACTGAATCGAGACTGAGCCAAGACTGAACCAGGACTGAACCAAGACTGAACCAAGGTTGAACCAGGACTAAAGCAAGACTGAACCAAGACTGAACCAAGGTTGAACCAGGACTAAAGCAAGACTGAACCAAGACTGAACCAAGGTTGAACCAGGACTAAAGCAAGACTGAACCAAGACTGAACCAGGACTGAACCAGGACTGAACCAAGACTGAACCAGGACTGAACCAGGACTGAACCAGGACTGAATCAAGACTGAACCAAGACTGAACCAAGACTGAACCAGGACTGAACCAGGACTGAACCAGGACTGAATCGAGACTGAGCCAAGACTGAACCAAGACTGAACCAAGGTTGAACCAGGACTAAAGCAAGACTGAACCAAGACTGAACCAGGACTGAACCAGGACTGAACCAAGACTGAACCAAGACTGAACCAGGACTGAATCGAGACTGAGCCAAGACTGAACCAAGACTGAACCAAGGTTGAACCAGGACTGAACCAAGACTGAAAACCAGGACTGAACCAGGACTGAACCAGGACTGAATCAAGACTGAACCAAGACTGAACCAAGACTGAACCAGGACTGAACCAGGACGGACCTGACCTAGAGACATGAGCTCAGCACCATGGATAAAAGTTGATATTTTCGATAAATGGTAAAAAAAAAACGAAACATAAATAAGTGAAAGGTACAAGTGGAGATTAGTTTTCAATCCCAGAGATTGAAACACGACTAGAAACAAACCTCAAGAACAGGTCCATACACGCCCCGTCCACAAATCACACGGGACTTATCTGGTTCAATAAACTGATTTTCTAGTTGATTAAAACTGTTAACAAGGACTAAACCAGGACTGAACCAGGACTAAACCAGGACTGAACCAGGATTGAACCAAGACTGAACCAGGACTGAACCAAGACAAGACCAAGAATGAACAAGGACTAAATCAGGACTAAACCAAGACTGAACCAGAACTGAGCCAGGACTAAACTAACATTGAACCAGGACTAAACCAGGACTGAAATAAGAATGAACAAGGACTAAACCAGGCCTAAATCAGGACTAAACCAGGACTAAACTGAGACTGAACCAGGACTGAAAGGAGACTAAACCAGGACTGAATCAGGACTAAACCAGGACTGAATCAGGACTGAACCAGGACTAAACCAGGACTGAACCAGTACTAAACCAGAACTAAGCCAAGACTGAACCAAGAATGAACAAGGACTAAATCAGGACTAAACCAGAACTAAACCAAGACTGAACCAGGACTGAACCCGGACTAAACCAGGACTGAAATAAGAATGAACAAAGGACTAAACCAGGCCTAAATCAGGACTAAACCAGGACTAAACTGAGACTGAACCAGGACTGAACCAGGACTAAACCAGGACTGAACCAGGACTAAACCGAGACTGAACCAGGACTGAACCAGAACTAAGCCAAGACTGAACCAAGAATGAACAAAGACTAAACCAGGACGAAACCAAGACTGTACCAGGACTGATCCTACACTAAAACCAGGTTTGAACCAGGACTAAACCAGGACTGATCCTAGACTGATCCTAGACTGAACCAGGACTGAACCAGGCCTGAACCCTGAACCAGGACTAAACAAGAATTAAACCAGGACTGAACTAGGACTAAACCAGAACTGAACCACGACTAAAACCAGGACTGAACCCTGAACTGAACCAGGACTGAACCAGAACTAAACCAGGACTGAACCAGGATTGAACCAAGATTGAACCAGGACTGAACCAAGACAAGACCAAGAATGAACAAGGACTAAATCAGGACTAAACCAAGACTGAACCAGAACTGAGCCAGGACTAAACTAACATTGAACCAGGACTAAACCCGGACTAAACCAGGACTGAAATAAGAATGAACAAGGACTAAACCAGGCCTAAATCAGGACTAAACCAGGACTAAACTGAGACTGAACCAGGACTGAACCAGAACTAAACCAAGACTGAACCAGAACTGAGCCAGGACTAAACTAACATTGAACCAGGACTAAACCCGGACTAAACCAGGACTGAAATAAGAATGAACAAGGACTAAACCAGGCCTAAATCAGGACTAAACCAGGACTAAACTGAGACTGAACCAGGACTGAAAGGAGACTAAACCAGGACTGAATCAGGACTAAACCAGGACTGAGACTGAACCAGGACTAAACCGAGACTGAACCAGGACTGAAACCAGAACTAAGCCAAGACTGAACCAAGAAAGAACAAAGACTAAACCAGGGAAAACCAAGACTGTACCAGGACTGATCCTACACTAAAACCAGGTTTGACCAGGACTAAACCAGGACTGAACCAGGATTGAACCAGGACTGAACCAGGACTAAACCAGGACTGAAACCAGGACTGAAACCAAGACTGAACCAGGACTGAACCAAGGACAAGACCAGAATGAACAGGACTAAATCAGGACTAAACCAGACTGAACCAGAAACTGAAACTAAACCAGGACTAAACCAGGACTGAAATAAGAATGAACAAGGACTAAACCAGGCCTAAATCAGGACTAAACCAGGACTAAACTGAGACTGAACCAGGACTGAAAGGAGACTAAACCAGGACTGAACCAGGACTAAACCGAGACTGAACCAGGACTGAACCAGAACTAAGCCAAGACTGAACCAAGAATGAACAAAGACTAAACCAGGACGAAACCAAGACTGTACCAGGACTGATCCTACACTAAAACCAGGTTTGAACCAGGACTAAACCAGGACTGATCCTAGACTGATCCAGGACTGAACCAGGACTAAACCAGTGGAGAACCAAGCCTGAACCAAGACTGAATCAAGACTGAACCAGGACTAAACCAGGCCTGAACCACGACTAAAACCAGGACTGAACCCTGAACCAGGACTAAACAAGAATTAAACCAGGACTGAACCCTGAACTAGGACTAAACCAGAACTGAACCAGGACTGAACCAGGACTAAGCCAAGACTGAACCAGGACTAAACCGAGACTAAACCAGGACTGAAACTGTATCAACTTTCATTCGCAACTAAAAAATGTGAACTGAAATTATATCAGAACCTCGTTTTGTCTCTTTCGTCTCGATTTTGGGAACCGAATCTCGTGCCGTCGTCTCACCTCATCGAAATTTCACCTCCTCACGTTTCTAAATATTTCCACCGAGACAAACTTCATTCCTCAGACGTCCCCGGTCCACGGTCCACTGCTCAGGCAAGTCCCCACTTGTCATGACCAGAGAGTTTTTTCACGCACCGTGGGAGGAGGTGTCGGTAGAACATGAACCGACCAAGTTAAGTTTAGACTAAATAAAACCCGACTCGCTAAATTTAGTCTAAGAATTCTGACTCAGGTACTTTAAAGGTCCTTTATTACACAAACATGACTCATCTGATATTTAAGAAGTGGCAGAGTTTGTGTTTGTGGAGGTCGAATCCATGGCAATTTCTCTTTTGTAATGTTAAGATGTTGTTGCCTCATCAAAAACAGAGCTGGATTTGTGTTTTGTTTCATTCACACACGCTCAAAATGCTCCGTTCGGCTTCGTGATTTATTTTTTTATTTGTATTTATTCATGTATTCAATTTGGGCCAGTCACAAATTTATGTTCTTTAAAAATTGAGCATATAACATGAGTGAAATTATAACAGAAATAACAATAAAATTGTCCAAAAAGGAATGGGAAGAAAAACACTTAAATCCCACTTCTACTTTCTTTCGCATTTCACGTTAAACTATAAAAACCACGGATGTAACGGTACAAAAATCAGAGTTGGGTAAAGTACCTGGGTTTCGAGGTCACGGTTCGGTTCATTTTCGGGAACAAAATGCGAAATCATTTGCTTAATGTTTATTTGTGTTTTTATTAAACCAACAATTTGTTTTAACATTATACAAACGGGAAATTAAAATAAATGCAAAGTGCTGCTTGGTAACACTAATAAGTTCAAGAAAATATTCTCAAATAAGCAACAAATGTATGAAATATTATAAAAAATAAATAGTTGTAAATAGTTAACAAAATTTTAAAAAGTTTGGGGGCAGCAGTGTTACTTGGAGATGCAAAAATTGTGCAGAATTGTCAAATACAAAGTAGAAAAAACTGAGGCAATCAAAAAAGTACAAAATAATTAAAATCCTTTAATACCACATGGCAGATAAACAAAACTTTTCAAAATTTAAAGTGCAGCAGTAACAGGTCCAGCGTGAAGTTTTCCTCAATCTTCAGATTTTTGGCCAGAAAAAAAAAAAATTTGTCCCACATTGTCTGGAGTAAGTGTGGATCTGCTGCAGGTACAACGTCCCCAGGGACTGAAATTAGACTTTTACTCAAGGACCGAGGTCGAGGGTTTGGGGCGTGGGGGCGGGAGGGCGGAGATTCTGTGCCGGTAAAAGGTGAAAGTGAAGATTTGGGTGCGACGACTGTAATTTTACGAGGATTCACGTAGATCGGAGGGATGTTTTCAAGGTGAGGGGCAGTTGTTGTCAAAGTGGTTGCCCTAATTATAAAGGACTAAACCAGGAACTGAACCAGGACTAAACCAAGGACTGAACCAGGACTAAAACAAAACTGAACCACAAATGAACAAGAAATAAACCAAGACTTAACCAGGACTGAACAAGGATTGAACAAGGACTAATCTAGGACTGAACTAGGACAGAACCAGAACTTAACTGGGACTAAACCAGGACTGAACCAGGACTGAACCAAAGCTGGACCAGGACTGAACCAGGACTAAAACAAAACTGAACCAAACTAAACAAGGACTAAACCAGGACTGAACCAAGACTGAACCAGGACTGAACCAGAACTAAACAAGGACTAAACCAGGACTGAACCAGGACTGAACCAAGACTGAACCAGGACTGAACCAAAGCTGGACCAGGACTGAACCAGGACTGAACCAAGGCTGAACTAAGAATGAACTAGGACTGAACCAGAACTAAAACAAAACTGAACCAAACTAAGCAAGGACTAAACCAGGACTGAACCAAGACTGAACCAAGACTGAACCAGGACTGAACCAGAACTAAACAAGGACTGAACCAGGACTGAACGAAGACTGAACCAAGACTGAACCAGGACTAAACCAGAACTAAAACAAAACTGAACCAAACTAAACAAGGACTAAACCAGGACTAAACCAGGACTGAACCAAGACTGAACCAAGACTGAACCAGAACTAAACAAGGACTAAACCAGGACTAAACCAGGACTGAACCAAGACTGAACCAGGACTGAACCAGAACTAAACAAGGACTAAACCAGGACTAAACCAGGACTGAACCAAGACTGAACCAGGACTGAACCAGAACTAAACAAGGACTAAACCAGGACTGAACCAAGACTGAACGAAGACTGAACCAAGACTGAACCAGGACTAAACCAGAACTAAACCAAGACTAAAACAAAACTGAACCAAACCAAACCAAGACTGAACCAGAACTAAACAAGGACTGAACCAGGACTGAACGAAGACCGAACCAAGAATGAACAAGGACTAAACCAGGACCAAACCAAGACCAAACCAGGACTGAACCAGGACTGAACTAAGACTGAACCAGAACTAAACAAGGACTAAACCAAAACTAAACCATGACTGAACCAGGACTGAACCAGGCCTAAACAAGGACTAAACCAAGACTAAACCAAGAATGAACATGACATCACCAGGTGGACCAACGTATTTTCAATTCTGAGAGAAAAACTGCGTCTAAATCTGCTGCGTTTGTGCTTTTAAACTTGTGAATGAAACAAAACACAACTCCAGGTCTGTTTTTGTCTCGAGGAAACACCATTACAGACCCCAAAAAAAAAAAAAATTGCGTAACACGAGCTCTTTAAACCCATATTCCTGACTCACGACGGCTTTTCTATATGACACATGTACAGTGAGGAGATTACAGTACATGTTTGGGTTGGGCCAAAGCCAGTTTTTTTCCACGATTATTCGAAACCCGGGAGGAAGTGATGAACCAGAAGACGTATATGTTGGTCCTAATATGGAAACGATCAGCATATATGTTGGCAGTGTTGAGAAATATTGAAGCTGAGTCTGCGCTTTGTGGTTTGTTACTTCACACGTCGAATGTTTCCACTGGAACTGACCCAAATACCAAAGTTTACGCATTCTCTAAAGATGCCATGTTACACTAAACTGACTCTGGTTATAAACAGTGTTGGGAAGGTGACTTTTAAAATGTTTTCCCCTACAGATTACAGATTACACACCCCAAAATGTAGTTTGTAACGTGATTCATTCAATTACTTAAAGTGAGTAATGTAATCTGGATACTTTGGATTACTTGATTTGCTGTAGAGAAACAAAGACGAGGACATCGTAACATGAGAGGTTTTGTCAAAAGAAAATAAAAAGTTCAGACTTTACTGAACCAAATTAAAAATATTATTGATAGAAGAAGAGGAGACACGGTCTGCAAAACATGGTTTAGTCCTGTTAAATCCTGTTTTAGACCTGGTTTTAGACCTGGTTTTAGATCTGGTTTTAGACCCGGTTTAGACCTGATTTAGACCCGGTTTAGACCTGGTTTAGTGTCTGGCAATGAGTGGAATCACCAAAAAAAAAAAAGGGACATAGCCCAAAATGGCAAATGTAAAAACAGGAAAATCCCTCTGTGTAATCCATTTATTTCAACAAAGTAACTGTAATCCAATTACCACTCACTGAAACAGTAACTGTAACTGAATACAGTTCCTCATAATTTGTACTCTGATTACATAACTCTGGTACATGTAATCTGTTACTCCCCAACACTGTTTATAAAGTTGTTACCTCGTTAAAAACAGACCTGAAGTTACGTTTTGTTTCATTCACACGTGTTTGAGTTATGTTTTATTATTAGTCTGTCTACTTCTGCAAAACTCAAAATGCTCTTGTGGTGTCACATTTTAAGATATAAACACTTAAATCGATCAGAAAATTACTTAAGATCATTTTACTTGACAAGTTTTCTTAAAATAAACGACCTTTAGACTAGAATGAAGCAGTTTCAGAACTAGTAAGTAGACAATAAATCTGAAAAAAGAGGAATAACCTGATATAAGTTTTAAAATTTTGGCCACGTCAGAGAAATTTTCAGTGTATAAAGCTTTAGTTTTCAAGTTAACAGCTCCTCTTGTCTTTAGTTCAGTAGATTCAGATTGGCAATTCCAGGGCTAAAATTATCGGAATTAGTTTAGTGAAGATGTGTAAAGTTTAAAAACACAGTAGGAACAGAGTGTTTTCTATTTGAAAGAGGAGTTCAGCCTAAATGTGCAGGATTTGTGTGTTAAACTTGTGAGAATGAAGCAAAACACAACTTCAGGTCTGTTTGTGACGAGGAAACATTATAATATAAATCAGAAAATACGACAGTACAGTGACACATTATTAAATCTTTTACTGTCGCATTACATACGTCATGACCAAACAGCAGCGATTGGTTAAATGATAAAAAGTACCTGCCTACCGTCGAACAAACTCTAATGCTGCGAGGTCAGACGGTTTGTACGAAGTGAAACTGGCTGATGAAGCAGTTTTGTTGCTTGTTTATTGGAAAGAAATTTGACATTTTCACTTTTGTTTGTTTGTTTCATATGAACTTTACACTTTGTCTTATCAAAGACTTTCAGTATCACAGCCACAATTAAGCGTTTGTTTTTATTGAACCGTAGAGAATCCATCCATCTCCTCCTCGAACCGTCACCTTATCGTGGTCAGTGTCGGGAAGGTGACTTTTAAAATGTAATCCCCTACAGATTACAGTTACATACCCCAAAATGTTGTTTGTAACATAATCCATTAAATTACTTAAAGTGAGTAATGTAATCTGAATACTTTGGATTACTTCATTTGCTGTAGAGAAGCAAAGACGAGGAAATCTTCACATGAGATGTTTTGTCTGATAAAAGAAAATAAAAAGTTCAGACTTTACTGAACCAAATTAAAAATATTATTGATAGAAGAAGAGGAGACACGGTCTGCAAAACATGGTTTAGTCCTGTTAAATCCTGTTTTAGACCTGGTTTTAGACCTGGTTTTAGATCTGGTTTTAGACCTGGTTTAGACCTGGTTTAGACCCGGTTTAGACCTGGTTTAGTGTCTGGCAATGAGTGGAATCACCAAAAAAAAAAAAGGGACATAGCCCAAAATGGCAAATGTAAAAACAGGAAAATCCCTCTGTGTAATCC